TTGTCTCTCCCCGCGACACCCACCGGTACCAGCGAAAAGACAAAGTTAAAAGTGAAAGTAAAGATAACAGTATGGTCTGTGCACCGATTCGTCACAACAGGCCATGACGCTTTGAGATGTATGGGTCCAACGTTATTGTACCTTCTGTAATGCGGACGTATGTGGCTATTTAGGTCAACGCGTATCGCGAAATGGCGCCTGAAGACATGCACTTGTCCAGGTATTGAAAGAACATGTGTCACAAATGTGTCAGGTCTCAATGTAAATGAAGAGAGGGAGAGAGAAAGAGAGAGAGAGAGAGAGAGAGAGAGAGAGAGAGAGAGAGAGAGAGAGAGAGAGAGAGAGAGAGAGAGAGAGATTTTATATCAAGAATGAAATGTGTGATCCGAGCGCTATTCAAGCTCATAAAAATTATTCCTATTCACTTCTACACACGCCTGACTCTACGTCTTTATCCAGCACCGTATCTAATTAGGCCGCCGAGTGAAAGTGGAACGGCTATATTGAGAGCCACTTTTCAGAACAGCTGTTTCAAAACTGCTGCCAAACAAGGAAGTAGGGGAGGGGACTGCAATAAAAAAGGGGGTGGGAGGGGGGAAGGAGGAGGGAGGGAGGGGGAGGGAGGAGGGAGGGAGGAGAGAGGGAAGAGGGAGGGTTAAACCCAAACAAAACGACAAGAAGATAGGCACACGCACGCTCTCACTGTAATGTGCAAGTAGTGGCAACTCTGCTTGCACATCACGCCTCTGGTGGGAAACCGCAAGCAAGGGTAGCATGTCCAGGGGTGACAAATTTTGTACATGTGGTAGAGGTTTTACGGTGCTCGCAACTACATAAGGTCAAATGAGCACCAAGGGGTGGATGTCAATAGAGAAGTCTTTCCAGTGAACCAAGCTCACTCTGCTCACCTCTCTTGCTTCAAGAGCACAAAGTCTGCTCCGACTATCAAGGCACCCCGGAAATAGAGGGTCACAGTCACAAGAGTGTGACAAACATACAAAAGAAGTAGAGGAAAAATGACTATAGTAAGGATTAGGAAAGAAAATGTAGGAGTTCCTTGTTGCAGTTCAGGCACTGCAGTGAGCAATACATTGATGAATCAGATAATAATAATAATAATAATAATAATAATAATAATTATTATTATTATTATTATTATTATTATTATTATTATTATTATTATTATTATTATTATTATTATTATTATTATTATTAATGTCCAACCTTTGGGAATGGCCTAAAGACGATTCAGTTAGTATCACGGACCCGGGGGTAGACAATGTTTGCGCGAGATTTTATTGGCGGTTCTGATGATGGTGGTGATAACGCTGAAGCCTACCAGCTGTGACTAAATTAATGAATTAATTTTGTTCGCATAGCTTCAGGACGATACAAACGATTTACGTGGATGTCAGGAGAAATCTGTTAAAAGGGAGCGGGGTGAAAAAGAGTAACAAGACTGTTTGCTCATATCCTTTCTATGTTGTCCTGATATCAAAAAGAATAAAATGAAAAGCGTCAAAAATCTTTACTACAACAAAATAGTTCCTTCCTCTATTTGAGGGACTATTTTTATAATGATGTACTAAGAAAACGTGAACTAAAGCCCAACCATTGCAAATTGTTGGGTTTTGTCGCGTTTGGTCTTGTGAGGGGGGGGGGGGGTGGAGTGATCGTACTTACCGTTTATCTAATATTAATTTTAATTGGACTTGAGAAGCCATGATGTAATCGTTGCTAAGAACTCAGCTGAGTAAAACGGTGATCGCAGTACAGAATTACAACAATAAAATTATTTTCGTTTGGGGGTTTTTTAAAACCACGAACTGAGCTACTCTTCTTCTCGAGAAAGGAAAGAGAGTTGCGCCCCTTGAGAATATTCTGCGCTGACATGCCGCTGATTTTTATACGTGTAAACCATCTTGCGGTTTTGGATCTTTGAATATACTCCAAAATCAAAATGTTTCGACGCTTGGCTAATGCAGAACATAGATTATGAATGGGCACCAAAACGTATAGATAGGCCTATTATTACCGAGGCCCACCTAATAGGCGACAGAGAATCAATACCGTCATAAAACACACACAAATTTTTAGTACCTCTACGTGAGAATTCTTTACTCAGCTTTTCTATTCAATCTTTTCTTTTCAATCAGGTAGTCGCAGTTTTCTCAGTGGTAAAATATCATGACGGTTATCGTGGCTCAAAGCTAATCCAAAATGTAAGCCGCAGCGTTCCTTTGTGCAACTTTTTGTTTGTTATTGTGCGTGTGTGTTTGCTTGTGTGTTTGTAGGGTTGTTTATCTACTAACTTTCACAAATAAGTATTTCAAAAGCACACCACGCCTAAAAGGAGACAGACAGACAGTCTTTTGTTTTACTTTAGATCGACACCTGGGTTTCTATATCACCATGAACAAGAGAGGGCAGAACTTTCTGTTTCCCTGGACAGATTTTTTCTCTGTCTAGCTACATGCAACTATCACATAAGACTTTTACGGGGGGCTCCCGTGGCCTAGAGGTTAAGATGTTGGCCTCTCATTCAAAGGTCCCGGGTTAGAATCCGGGTAGCGACCAAAACATTTTCTTCTCTAAAAGTGTCTCCTTTCACCTCCTTTCCTGCTCTCTAGCAATGTTCTGTTGTCTGCTTTCATTTCCACTTTCTGCCCCCCACCCCCCTCACCTCCTTTGCCCCCTCCTCTGGGCCCCTGACTCTTTCTGCAGCCTTTCTACTGTTACTCCTTGGCTCCTCCTTACTACTATCTTTCTGCCACACCCCTGATCTTCTGGTAGGAAAGATCTACACCTAGCCTTCTCGGACAAGGGCGAAAAATCTCGGAGGGCCCGTGTGCAAGTTGCACACGTTAAAGATCCCTTGGTGGTCTAAAATCGATAAGAGTAGGCTTCGGCCGCCACCCGGGCAAAATTCAAAATTTCCTACCAACTGAAAACATTAGGAGTGTCCCGCGCGCTCATATGACCTATGCAGTTGCGAGCGCCGTAAAACACTTTACAAAAACAAAAAAGACTTTTACGGCGCTGGGAACACAAATTGTATTTGTCAAAGACCAGAGAAGTTACTAGAGAAAAGAGTAAAAAAACAAGATGAAAGAAATATAGTATGATGGATGAGGAAGAAGGAAAAACGGAACAAAAAATTATCAAACATAAAAAAACCAAAAAAGAAGAAGTAGATGTTGATTATCGGTGTCTGCGGTGTCGCAGTTTGGCGCTAGCCACTGTTGCACGTACGGGACCCGAGTTCGATTCGCGATTTTGGAGGATTTTTCATCCGGTATAGCAGTCTTTCTGCTGGGATGTGGAATCCTTCTCAGCCCGGGTATGTCTTGAAAGGCAGGGTCGAAGCCCGCCTCCTAAATGATCTAATATGTATCGGAGACGGTGTAACATACATCTAAAAAATAAACCCTGATTTTTAAAAAAGAAATTGATAGAAAATAGAAAATAAAGGCATACATTGCAATAAAAGTATCTCTCTTGCCTTATTTGCATTAGTTCGTCCTATGTTATCTTAATTGTGACGATAGAGACCTAAAACACATACATTTAAAAGAAAGACGAAAAAAGCACACCCCCCCCCCCAAAAAAAAAAAAAGTGAAAATAGGATTTTTTACAAAAAGCAGAAGTTGGGTCAAAAGTATCTCTCTCACCTGAGCTGCATAAAGTCCATCCTGGTTAGCTAAAATTGTGTCGATTAAGGCCTATAACACTTACATAAAAAAACAAGGAAAAAAAACAACGAGAAACCACACATGAAGGAAAACAAGATACCAGAAAATAAAGCAGAAGTTGCACCAGAAGTAGATTCTACCTCTCTCTCACTCTCACCTGCGATGCACTCGTCCAGTACTGCGCACCAACACAAGAACAGCGCTACCAACACCACACGGCGAGCGGCAGACAGACAGACAGACAGACCGACAGATCTTCAGCCGTTCTAAAAACCAGGCTATCCCACCTTTTTCAATTGCAAACATCTTGACTTCTGTTCAAGCTAGAAGGAAATTCTTTTCACAGAAAGTAAGGAAAATAAATAAGCTTTCAGATGATATCAATAACTTCACACGTCCAAAAATTGACGAGCGCGTGATTCCAACACGTCTTGACACATTGTCATATTTTGACTGACGGTTGTCTCTCCCCGCGACACCCACCGGTACCAGCGAAAAGACAACGTTAAAAGTGAAAGTAAAGATAACAGTATGGTCTGTGCACCGATTCGTCACAACAGGCCATGACGCTTTGAGATGTATGGGTCCAACGTTATTGTACCTTCTGTAATGCGGACGTATGTGGCTATTTAGGTCAACGCGTATCGCGAAATGGCGCCTGAAGACATGCACTTGTCCAGGTATTGAAAGAACATGTGTCACAAATGTGTCAGGTCTCAATGTAAATGAAGAGAGAGAGAGAGAGAGAGAGAGAGAGAGAGAGAGAGAGAGAGAGAGAGATTTTATATCAAGAATGAAATGTGTGATCTGAGCGCTATTCAAGCTCATAAAAATTATTCCTATTCACTTCTACACACGCCTGACTCTACGTCTTTATCCAGCACCGTATCTAATTAGGCCGCCGAGTGAAAGTGGAACGGCTATATTGAGAGCCACTTTTCAGAACAGCTGTTTCAAAACTGCTGCCAAACAAGGAAGTAGGGGAGAGGACTGCAATAAAAAAGGGGGAGGGAGGAGGGAGGGAGGAGGGAGGGAGGAGGGAGGTTAAACCCAAACAAAACGACAAGAAGATAGGCACACGCACGGTCTCATTGTAATGTGCAAGTAGTGGCAACTCTGCTGCACATCACGCCTCTGGTGGGAAACCGCAAGCAAGGGTAGCATGTCCAGGGGTGACAAATTTTGTACATGTGGTAGAGGTTTTACGGTGCTCGCAACTACATAAGGTCAAATGAGCACCAAGGGGTGGATGTCAATAGAGAAGTCTTTCCAGTGAACCAAGCTCACTCTGCTCACCTCTCTTGCTTCAAGAGCACAAAGTCTGCTCCGACTATCAAGGCACCCCGGAAATAGAGGGTCACAGTCACAAGAGTGTGACAAACATACAAAAGAAGTAGAGGAAAAATGACTATAGTAAGGATTAGGAAAGAAAATGTAGGAGTTCCTTGTTGCAGTTCAGGCACTGCAGTGAGCAATACATTGATGAATCAGCCGATTAACACATTTACAGTGCATAAGAATATATAATTATTATTATTATTATTATTATTATTATTATTATTATTATTATTATTATTATTAATGTCCAACCTTTGGGAATGGCCTAAAGACGATTCGGTAGACAATGTTTGCGCGAGATTTTATTGGCGGTTTTGATGATGGTGGTGATAACGCTGAAGCCTACCAGCTGTGACTAAATTAATGAATTAATTTTGTTCGCATGATGATGGTGGTGATAACGCTTAAGCCTACCAGCTGTGACTAAATTAATGAAAGGGAGCGGGGTGAAAAAGAGTAACAAGACTGTTTGCTCATATCCTTTCTATGTTGTCCTGATATCAAAAAGAATAAAAGGAAAAACGTCAAAAATCTTTACTACAACAAAATAGTTCCTTCCTCTATTTGAGGGACTATTTTTATAATGATGTACTAAGAAAACGTGAACTAAAGCCCAACCATTGCAAATTGTTGGGTTTTGTCGCGTTTGGTCTTGTGAGGGGGGGGGTGGGGGTGGAGTGATCGTACTTACCGTTTATCTAATATTAATTTTAATTGGACTTGAGAAGCCATGACGTAATCGTTGCTAAGAACTCAGCTGAGTAAAACGGTGATCGCAGTACAGAATTACAACAATAAAATTATTTTCGTTGGGGGTTTTTTTAAACCACGAACTGAGCTACTCTTCTTCTCGAGAAAGGAAAGAGAGTTGCGCCCCTTGAGAATATTCTGCGCTGACATGCCGCTGATTTTTATACGTGTAAACCATCTTGCGGTTTTGGATCTTTGAATATACTCCAAAATCAAACAGTTTCGACGCTTGGCTAATGCTGAACAAAGATTATGAATGGGCACAAAAACGTATAGATAGGCCTATTATTACCGAGGCCCACCTAATAGGCGACAGAGAATCAATACCGTCATAAAACACACACAAATTTTTAGTACCTCTACGTGAGAATTCTTTACTCAGCTTTTCTATACCTCTATTTTTCTTTTCTTTTCAATCAGGTAGTCGCAGTTTTCTCAGTGGTAAAATATCATGACGGTTATCGTGGCTCAAAGCTAATCCAAAATGTAAGCCGCAGCGTTCCTTTGTGCAACTTTCTGTTTGTTATTGTGCGTGTGTGTTTGCTTGTGTGTTTGTAGGGTTGTTTATCTACTAACTTTCACAAATAAGTATTTCAAAAGCACACCACGCCTAAAAGGAGACAGACAGACAGTCTTTTGTTTTACTTTAGATCGACTCCTGGGTTTCTATATCACCATGAACAAGAGAGGGCAGAACTTTCTGTTTCCCTGGACAGATTTTTTCTCTGTCTAGCTACATGCAACTATCACATAAGACTTTTACGGGGGGCTCCCGTGGCCTAGAGGTTAAGATGTTGGCCTCTCATTCAAAGGTCCCGGGTTAGAATCCGGGTAGCGACCAAAAAATTTTCTTCTCTAAAAGTGTCTCCTTTCACCTCCTTTCCTGCTCTCTAGCAATGTTCTGTTGTCTGCTTTCATTTCCACTTTCTGCCCCCCACCCCCCTCACCTCCTTTGCCCCCTCCTCTGGGTCCCTGACTCTTTCTGCAGCCTTTCTACTGTTACTCCTTGGCCCCTCCTTACTACTATCTTTCTGCCACACCCCTGATCTTCTGGTAGGAAAGATCTACACCTAGCCTTCTCGGACAAGGGCGAAAAATCTCGGAGGGCCCGTGTGCAAGTTGCACACGTTAAAGATCCCTTGGTGGTCTAAAATCGATAAGAGTAGGCTTTGGCCGCCACCCGGGCAAAATTCAAAATTTCCTACCAACTGAAAATATTAGGAGTGTCCCGCGCGCTCATATGACCTATGCAGTTGCGAGCGCCGTAAAACACTTTACAAAAACAAAAAAGACTTTTACGGCGCTGGGAACACAAATTGTATTTGTCAAAGACCAGAGAAGTTACTAGAGAAAAGAGTAAAAAAACAAGATGAAAGAAATATAGTATGATTGATGAGGAAGAAGGAAAAACGGAACAAAAAATTATCAAACATAAAAAAACCAAAAAAGAAGAAGTAGATGTTGATTATCGGTGTCTGCGGTGTCGCGGTTTGGCGCTAGCAACTGCTGCACGTACGGGACCCGAGTTCGATTCGCGATTTTGGAGGATTTTTCATCCGGTATAGCAGTCTTTCTGCTGGGATGTGGAATCCTTCTCAGCCCGGGTATGTCTTGAAAGGCAGGGTGGAAGCCCGCCTCCTAAATGATCTAATTTGTATCGGAGACGGTGTAACATACATCTAAAAAATAAAACCTGATTTTTTAAAAAGAAATTGATAGAAAATAGAAAATAAAGGCATACATTGCAATAAAAGTATCTCTCTTGCCTTATTTGCATTAGTTCGTCCTATGTTATCTTAATTGTGACGATAGAGACCTAAAACACATACATTTAAAAGAAAGACGAAAAAAGCACACCCCCCCCCCCAAAAAAAAAAAGAAGTGAAAATAGGATTTTTTACAAAAAGCAGAAGTTGGGTCAAAAGTATCTCTCTCACCTGAGCTGCATAAAGTCCATCCTGGTTAGCTAAAATTGTGTCGATTAAGGCCTATAACACTTACATTAAAAAAAACAAGGAAAAAAAACAACGAGAAACCACACATGAAGGAAAACAAGATACCAGAAAATAAAGCAGAAGTTGCACCAGAAGTAGATTCTACCTCTCTCTCACTCTCACCTGCGCTGCACTCGTCCAGTACTGCGCACCAACACAAGAACAGCGCTACCAACACCACACGGCGAGCGGCAGACAGACAGACAGACAGACCGACAGACTTTCAGCCGTTCTAAAAATCAGGCTATCCCACCTTTTTCAATTGCAAACATCTTGACTTCTGTTCAAGCTAGAAGGAAATTCTTTTCACAGAAAGTAAGGAAAATAAATAAGCTTTCAGATGATATCAATAACCTTCA